TTCCTGACAGCCTGATGGATGAAGCTGTCCTTCAGTCTGCTGGTCCTGGCCTGGAGACTCTGCTCTTCATGAGAATCCAGACATGTAAGTTCACCCTTGAGGCGTCACCTTCTCCTGTGTGTGTGTGAGAGTGTGTTTGTGTTTGACTGTGTTTGATGGTTGTGCTGATGTGAGTGTGACGTTCTCTTGGTTTCTCCAGCATCATTGGTACTCCTGGCCGTCTGATGCACGTCATCAAGGAGATGAACCTGAAGCTGCAGGCTGTGGAGTACGTGGTGTTCGATGAAGCCGACAGGTGAGATCAGACATACTGCTTAAATCCAAGATTTAAGTGTGCATTTTATTCATTAATCCTCATTTCAGGAGTAAAGTTTATATGTGTTCACTACGCTGCTCTAATGAGACATTTCTGCTTTTCCAGGCTGTTTGAAATGGGTTTTGCAGAGCAGCTTCAGGAAATCATCAGACGTCTTCCAGACGCTCGGCAGACGCTGCTGTTCTCTGCCACACTGCCCAAAATGATTGTGGATTTCGCCAGAGCTGGTACTCGCAGTCTAGATGTTAATACATGTTATTATATCCCATTATAGCACATCACAGGCATGTTTTGAGAGCTCCTATGATAGTTTGATCCTTGTGTTTTCTGTGACAGGCCTCACAGAGCCGGTTCTCATTCGTCTGGATGTGGACATGAAATTGAGTGACCAGCTGAAGGTAGAGTTGATTTTATTCACGTCGAACTAACTGGATGGTGAAAAGGGTCTACAAAAATAGGGATTGACAATGTCAGCTGAAAGTGGTTGTTTCAGAAGTGGGGCTTTGATGAAATTTTCTGAAAACATGCACTGATAAATCATTCACAATAACACTGTTAGCATATGTTAAACCAGTAAAAGAGTCTGTTTATGCTACTATTCGGGGTCGGTGTTTTTAATGCAATACTTCCTCTTTTTTTCCTGGACATGTCCTGGTCTAAATTGCTTGAAATGTCTGGGTTTTGGCTTTGTTTTCCTATTGTTTTCATACTTGCTGGTGGTAATGACTGAAAAGCATTTTGACCAATGGCTCTGGTCCTCACGCCCACCCGAGAGCTCGCCCTGCAGACCATGAAGTTCACCAAAGAGGTCTGTGCTGTCACCGCTTTACTCATGCTCACCTGCAGGAGAGTTCATTCATTCACTCAGAGTGTTTGTGTGCTTTCAGCTGGGGAAGTTCACCGGCCTGAAAACGGCACTCATTCTCGGTGGAGACAGGTGAGCCAAGTCTCAATAATACGCTCATATCCGATGAGGTTTATGTCTGAATTGTATCTGTGTTCTAAAAAGTGCTATAGCAATAAAGGTGACTTGATTCAGTTGAACGCTATTTCTGTGTGTGTGTCATTTCTGTTTGTCAGCATGGACGACCAGTTCAAGTCAAGTCTGCTTTATTGTCAATTCTTCCACATGTACAGCACATACACACAGAGAATTGAAATTGCGTTACTCTCAGACCCTTGGTGCATACAGATAACACTAAAAGTAGAACATAAATACAAATAGACAGATTAAATATAAAAT